CGTTTCCGTGGTATAGGCCTAACGAAGGTGTAACGACGAATATACATCGGTCACGGCCTGGCCGAAGCCGAGGCTTAGACATTGCATCTGGAATTATATCGTCAGACGTCAAACGAGTGACTCTAGGGTCCAGAGAAATGAGTAAAAGATCTTTTCTCAGTTCTGCTCAAAAATCATTACTTTTGAAAAATGATGGTCTTTTTATATTTAATTTTTCTAAACCAATTTCCGCCCCCGCCAAATCAGCGCACATCGATATTGTTCTTACGCACGCTGTCCACAGTAATGTGTATATCGGTTAAAATGAGGCAATTACCGACCTTTTATCCATGTCAGAGAGACTTGTGACTGACTGCCACAAATCAGTTGGATAGTCTTTGGCAATCGGAGTGAGTTGATTGTTCTACATGGATACGTTAATCTGAGTTACCAACTAGTTACTAACCCGTCAAGATTTCGTTGTATTCTAGAATGTAGCTCAACATTTATTATAGATGAGCCTATTTTTAGTAGCGTTCATTAGGAATCTGTATCTCCGTAAGACATTTTTTCAAGGGTTTGGTAACATTATCTATTGTATTTTGGTACTATTTGGCTTCTGAAACAATGCACTTGCAACATTTTAGTCGAAGATTGTATAACAAGTTCAGACTACAGTTTTCGGTAGGTTTACGCGATCCTTGAAGGGCTTTTGATGTTTTCGGGACTATGGACGAGGTGACCTACCTGGAAGATAGATAAATGAAAAATATATTGTCATTGTACTGAAGTGATAGAAGGTATAGAAAAATTTATAGTAAAGAAGATTCTATTAATACATGTGGTTTTATTGGCAAGACAAGCATGGGAAATTGTCCACATCTAAACCACAGGTCAAGTTGCGAACGTTACATTACCTACCAAATGTTTTAACTTAATCATAGTTCCGTTACCATAGCCAGGTTTTGCCTTCGCAACAGCTTATTGTCATATCGGTACTAAGATTGCCAGATTAAGCATGCAGTTTCACGATGATCTTATTGCTACTCATGTTATTTAAGTAATGCTTATCCTATTTATCATACTGCGTATCCTGAAATATCCATTCCAGTCCATTATCTCTGTTCACTCTCTCCCCTCTTCCCGAACCACTCAGACTGATAGCCATATAAGCCGATTAATAAATCTCTGGAAATCTGGAGCGCGTCTCCATTTGACGAGCTAAATGGACCGATAGTTGACGTGTGTTCATCAAGAATGGCGATTCTTGTCACTTTTTGTAAAATGAACACTAAAACAACCTGCTACCGTCGAATCCCATAAAAAATAATACAGATTTGTAACGATTCATCGTCAGACATAAAATGCATCGAGCGAATCGATAGCAGTAGTACTATTTTCGTTTTCAAATAAGAGTTCTGGATAACCTAAACATTAGTCGCCCTATGAAATGGCGTAAGCGCCAGCTGCATTCACCATTTTTGCTAAAATACCGCAGAATTGGTTTCACCATAACGTTAAATCGGGAACGTTTAACGATTTGGTCATCCACGATTGATCATATCGTAAAATAAATAGGGTCTCCATGGAATATTTAATAAAATTCCAGATGTTGCGAGGTCGCTTATTTTTTAAGTACGACATTTTGATCAAAACTGGTAACATTGGGAAATTAAAATAAAATAATTGAACCATTCTCAAATTGCACAACGTGTCACAATTCAAAAATTTCAACATATGAGATATCACAAATTATTACCTCGCGTGACCACAATATCCCGCGTTATTTGACGTATAATCTGAAAATCAACTAAAAATTATGATGAGCTATACGTACGTAGAATGATAGTAGCTCAATAGACAAACACAATATTTTAGCTGGAATACGATTTTGACTTCCAATGAATGAATGATTATGTAATTTGAGAGTGAAACACTTTCCGTAATCCTCTCAGCTTTTTGACGTTTTTGAGAACTCGATTACATTTTTGTCATAAAGTCCGTAATCTCACCTACTTCCTCATTTGGTAAGGAGTTATTATAACTTTTACTTCGAACAGCAATTTTTGTTATTAACTACTGCCGTGTTGAAATGCAAACATGGCGCTGCCAGCGCCTCTAACCCTAATTAATGTGAATATTTTATAACTTTATCAGAGATGCTTGACAATTCCAGTAGCCGCGCGTTTATTTGATCATATCGTTAAATGATTTGTTACCATTGATCTGGTCAACGCACATCATGATCTGGCCAGATCCCCGACCTCGAGCCCAAAGTTTGCAGGGCGCATTTCAGATTTTTTTTTGGATAAAAGACATCATATCAGAATGTTTTTCTGCAAAAAGTTAAGATGTTGAATTGATATATGGATGATATAACACAGTATCGCACAAGCACAAATATGCATAGAATTAGCTTTATCGCATATGAATGTATTATAAAGGAACAAAAAGAAATATTCGAAACTCTCCCTGGGCCCGGAGTTCCTGTCTACGTCGCGGAATATATGTAACATATTAATTTACGGTCTGTAGAATCATGAAAATTCGTCAAAATATATCTGGGGCGTAACTGAAGGCAGAACAACCAGCAAGGATGAGTTGCCTCCAAGGTGTGTTTACGATAAGTTTTTATAAATCCTGCATAAAATAAATATTTCAGATTAGACATATTTCAGGCGAGATGTTTGTCGCTGGTGGTTGGGACTGCTCTGTCTCTAGTGCAACTACCGATGAAATTCATATTTTATCAATACATCACATAAAGAGATTAAATATAAATAACAAAGGGTTTTGAATAACTGTAGTAGGATTTTATATCCATATTTAGGTTTATACTACGAAGACTAGCTCATAGAGACCTTTTCCAATGCGCAGATGTTCTACGCCCACTAGACTTCCGAGAGCCACACCATCATTGGAGACAGGATTGGCTTCATACGAATACGTGTATCCCTTAAGTAGCTTATCCTCATATTTCTACTCTTCGTGGTTTATACTTATGCGAAGAAGTGACACAAGTGACATGAATATTGCTAGCCCATTTCAAGTGTCTCTAGCCATATAGGCATCTCATCAATCAGGGAGTACAATTTATCAATTTCAGCTTGTAACCTTGGTTTGAAATTTGATCCATTTTTTTAATAAGGATATTGTTTTTTAAGTATTAACCATGCTAGTAGTTTTGATGCAATATGCGCAAGTGTTGCACAAACTATACAAATGTATAAGCCATGCTAAAATGACAAGGAACTGTGGGATAAGCAGCTCATTGTGACAAGTACGCAAGTACCTGATTTTCAAGTTAGCATAGTTGAGCGTTTTTTTTTTATACAGAATATACAAGATTCGTAATTCGAACTCCATGACACGCTACGTGAAACCTCCTCCTTTAGAAATACCTTGCAGAAAGACTAAGATATACAGGGTATTCCGTTTGAATAATATGAGTTGTCACATGTTTATGAATCACCCTATAGAGCACGGCATATTTTCGAAGTAAGGACGCATAGTTGCCTATATTTTTGGCAACTAACTTTTTTTATATATTACAGACTAATCGACCGATTGCACCCTAAAGATATAGACAAACACAACACCCATGGTAGAAATCCATTATTGTCTAGCCGCTAAATGAAACCACATATGTTTGAGTTACTCCTTCTACTAACGTTTCCACCTCCACAGTCGCTTTTTCTCAAAGTACAAGTGACATTTTATATTTAAAATATGCTGTCGTTAAACATAAAACGTCTTGTCACTGTCAGTTGTACTTCGAAAAAGGCCACCATGGTGACCGAGACGTTAGTAAAAAACAGTATTTCAAACATATATGTAGATTCATGTAACATCTAAAAATTATCCTGTGGTTTTCATGTCGATGTTTTCTCTGACCAACCGAAATCACATGTGTTGAAAGACTTTTTTCAGTACAATGACTTTGACAATATATTTTATTTATATATTTTCCAGGTTCGTAATTGTCAAAGTCATTGTACTGAAGAACGTCACCGTTGTGACCGAAATGTCTACAATAAAGAATATATTCATGTGATTTCGATTGGCCCGAGAAATTTGGGGGATTATGTATTTTCATTTGGCTGTCTGACATTGATGAAGTCCTATCAGCGCGAAAACCACAGGATAAATTTCAGTTGTTACAACTAACGTCCATAATACAGGGTTATTACAAAAGAATCATCGGGTTTTAAAAATTTATATTTCAAAGAGTATTGCAAATATAATATCAAATGACATATCACTAGAAAAGGAAAATGTTCGAGTTTAAGGCACGTGCTTGCGAACGCCGCTTTACCTCCCTAGGTAGCGCCTCGAGCTCAGTATACAAAATGGCGACTATGCAGCAGAAAGCGTTTTGTATGTTAGAGTACGCGCGATGTTTATCGGTTGTTACAGTGCAACGTGCATTCCGACGGCGGTATGGAACTGATTCTCCAGGTCATCAGAGCATTCTACGATGGTATCGACAATTCAAGAAGACAGGCTCCAATACTAAACGTAAAAGTACCGGAAGACCACGAGCTCCTGACGAAATGGTGGTCGCAGTTAAACACAGTTTCGCGCGTTCTCCGCGACAGTCCACTAGCAGAGCAGGAAGTGAACTTGGTAATCCCCAGCTAACCGTATGGAAAATTTTGTGGAAACGATTGCGATTCAAACCGTACCGTCTACAGATGCTACAAAGCTTACGACCTGACGACCACGTAAAGCGACTTGATTTTTCTTCTAACATGCAGGAGGCAATGGAAGACGACGAATTTGCTAACTGTCTGGTATTCAGCGAAGAAGTGACATTTCATTTAAGTGGAAGGGTGAACCGTCATAACATTCGGATATGGCGCACGGAAAATCCTCATATGATTGTGCAACATGAAAGGGATTCTCCAAAATTGAATGTCTTCTGTGCAATATCCAAAAATAAAGTGTATGGGCCTGAACGGTTCATACCACCTTGATATGTTGCATCCGTGGTTATTTCCGCAACTTCATATTCAAACAAGATGGAGCTCCGCCTCACTGGCATCATGAGGTGCGTCGGTATTTAAACGAGGCACTGCCTCACCGTTGGATTGGCCGAGGTACTGCACAAGATTTGGTATTGTTCGCGTGGCCTCCCAGGTCTCCCGACCTTACACGATGCGATTTTTACCTTTGGGGTTACATTAAAAATATGGTTTACATACCACCTCTGCCAACAACATTGGGTCAACTCCGGGAACGCATTACTACTGTTATTAACAATATCGATCGAGACACATTGCAGCGTGTATGGGCCGAACTGGACTATCGTTTTGACATATGTCGTGTGACGCAAGGAGCCCACATCGAACATTTGTAATAAAATCTTGAATATTTTACCTTTCCATTGACATGTCACTTACTGTTATATCTGTAATATCTTCAGAAATATATATTTTTAAAACTCGATGATTCTTTTGTAATAACCCTGTAGTAGTAATAATTCCGGGTCCAGAAGTCAAACCCGCGAGCTTTCGAGCGGATGCGCTACTCCAGCACCTAAATGAAAAGTTAATGCAATTGGTTCCATACACTTTGTATCTGAATCAATCATCCAGTAATAAAATGAAAGAGTAGTAAAGAGAGGATGAACAAGTGACGCCGGTGGTGGTGATAGGATAAAAAGCGTTGGGCAGCGGCACTTTATCTTAGCAATAAAACGGTGTGCAATTAGGGCAGGGCACAGGACATTGCAGTGACGATCCAGAAAGGTCACGCGTCGCCCGTAAACCTAATTAAAAACCCTCCATTAGCAACAGCCAAGCGGGGGACGTTGCAAGACCCTGCCTGTACATATACAGTGGCGGGTGACTATAATTGAAATTGTCTCCAGCCTTTATTGGATACATTTTGGTGTAATCAACTGTGTATTGTCAGTTCATGAAGGTTGCCTCCACAGTTCCTTGTCGAACCGTGGGCGTCTCGCTTACTACGTCATTAGAGAACTATGACGCTTTCCAATTACTGTATTATAGTGTGCGACTTTATTTGAATATTGACGCACACTATTCTGACGAAACTAACAAGTTTCAAGCGAGGGGTGTTGCAGGACCCTGCCTGTACATTCAGGGTGATTAACAAGTCGTGACCAAGTATGAAACATCATACTCAGGACCGCATTATAAGTCTTTTATGTAACATTTCTTCCTCGAGGCCTTCATTAAAAAGATGGGGGGTTGAAGTTTAAGGATAAAAATGATTTTTTTTAATATTCTCAAAGCCGTCAACTGGAATAAACTGAATCTTGGTACGTGGATTTAAGTATTGTCCACATTCAAATGTCTATACTTGAAACTAACGTGCACCAGTGGCGGATATACAAGGAATTAGTGGCATTATCTTTTCAAATAAAAATACTACGCCACTATGTTTTTTCGAAACGCGTAATTTTAGGAATTTTACCTTCAATTTGCTACAAATAATTACTCTTGTATTTTTTTCAAGCTTTATTTCAATTAATGTTCAAAAAGACCACCATTGTGACGGTTGCAAATGCGGAATCTTTCTAATAAAGAAAAAGTATTTCCGCAAAATTTGTTGTGGCTTGAGTTTGACGAAACGCATTATCTATGCTTTCTTGTAACTGATCAACAGTATCAATTTCTACAGCATACACTACTTGTTTAAAAGCGCTCCACAAAAAGAAATCCAGGGGGTTCAAATCAGCAGACCTCACAGGCCACTGTACGGGTCCGTTTCTGCCAACCCATCGTTGTCTTAAATGATTATTTAACCATGCGGTTATGTCACGACGAACATGCGGTGGGGCACCGTCGTGGTGATACCACATTCGTACTCTGGTTGCTAACGGAACATCATCTAATACATTTTCTATGTAATTCTCTAGAAAAGCTAAGTATGAGTTTGAATTTAAACGTTGTGGCAATACAATGAACAGTTGGCCATTGAAAATGCCGCACCAAATATTTCTAGAAAATCTGTGTTGTAACGAGTGGATTCTTACAGAACGGGGATTTTCTAACGAACCAAATACATATGTTCATTATGAGAATTAAAGGCTCCACTCCTAGTAAAAAGTGAGTTATCTGACCACAAAACCAAATCAACCAATAAAATCTGCATTTGCAGTAACCACTCACAAAATGTTCGCCGTAGCACTTCGTCGCTGGTTTACAGATATTGCATATTTTGCCGATGGTAAGGACGTAAATCTTTCCGATTTAAAATTCTCCACGCAAGACTTTGGGAAGATGGCAGCTGGGCTGCAATCCCAAACAAAAAAAATGGTAGTAGTAGTAACGATAACAACCGTATAACACGTAACTTTGACAAACCATCTCCCACGAAACGTCAAGTTGGTATGAAGGTCTCCTATTTTATTGTGAAACTAATTGTATCTCGATCTCGACTCTCATGACTGAACTAATTTGTTTTATTTTTATTTTTACGATAACAGCGCACTCTAGAAAAAACACATGAGTAATTATTTGTATCAAATTATAGGTAAAGTTCGAAAAATCGAGCGTTTTGAAAAAAAAAAACAGTGGCGTACTATTTTTATTTGGAAAATAGTGCCACTAATCCCCTGAATATCCGCCACTCGTGCACGTTAATTTGAAGTGAATATTTTTCAATGTGGAGAATGCTTAGGTAAATCCACATACCAAATTTTAGTTAATTTCAGTAGACGGTTTTGAAGATACTAAAAAAAATGTTTCTTATTTTTAAACTCCAGCACGACGTATCCTTTTAATGGCGCCCTCGAGGAAAACGACTTGTGAATCACCCTATATACAGTAGCGGGTCACTCCAATTGAAGTTTACTCCAGCTTTTATCAGATATATTTTTGTATAATCAACTGTGCATTGTCTGTCCATAAAGGTTGCATCTACAGTTCCCTATCGAATTGTGTGCGTCTCGTTTACTACAACGTCATTGGAGAATTATTGCGCTTTTCAATTACTACCAGTATTATATGAATGAATAAATCATGCAATTAGAGGCATTCCAGCCATCATAAGGTGTCAGTGCAAAGGCCGCTTAAACGGGCCCTTATGCACCTACCTTTACATTCCTTAGACCTCAAGCCTCGCCTTCCTAGCGAAGTTATAGTGTGCGTCTTTATTTGAATATTGACTGTGCGTATTACATAGCACCGATGAACGTAACAACTGATCATGTACAATACTTTCTAACACACCTTCCGTTGTTATTACTTTGACGATTTTACGTGATTGCATTCAATCCCAAAAATTCTTTAAAACAAATTACTGTATGTCTTCCTCTATCAGTTGTACCAATTGAAAACATTGATAATCGAGCTGGGAATAGAAACCTTACTACAGCAGCCATTCAGGAGGTACGACTGACATCACAAGACATAAAGTTTAACAGATTCATGTCAATTTAGAACACGCTCTGAAACAATGCTTAATAGTAGTGCCTTCCACTATTCGATCACAAATAAAATTGGGCCGTATTTTGTTACTGAGAGTCTTTATTCTCACTCCATTGTACTTGGGCAACGTGCTTCGCGGGCAGAAATGTATCACTTTCTGCACCTGTTTGGTAAATAATTATTGTGCGGTAATGTTGACAGATATTTTTAAATACTTAGGAAGGATACTTAGTAAGCCTTAGACCATATTTTCATCAACTATAATCCAATAATTGATACTAAGGGATTATACATCTTGTGTTAGGTACGCCGGCTTCGTGAAGGTTCTAGGGCAAAGGAGGAAAGAAAACAGAGAAAAAAAAAACAGTTGTTTGAGCGCAAGGCACAACTTGTGTAAATCAGGGAATTAGATATGTTATGTTCAAAGTTTGAGCTCATGTCTTGAAAAATAGCCAAGGCTACAGCATATTTTGCTGGATTCCATTGTTTTGCCCATTTCGCATGATTTGTTAATAGATGTCAATAGCTTATTTTTTATAATTGCTCAAACTGCTACTGCTAAACTTTCTTTTAAGCAAGGTGCATAGAGCAGTTATTGTAGCAGCTTAAATGTATTTGACTTTTTGCATTCTTTAAAAGAAACAAAGCAAAAAATACAGCAATAACGTTAAAGTTCCAAAATATGTCAAAATATTCCCAAGCCTACCATCACCACATTTCTTCAATGAACTACGTATTAAATAGCTTGTCAAGCTCCGATCATTCAAAAATTAATTAATGAACAACATTTTTCCACGTTCGATAGTTGTAGGCGTTACTCTGCTAACATCTGCGCTATGCGCACTCCATGCGTGTTCAAAAGTTTTTTTTTATACATCGATGCAGCCGCGCAGGCCTAAATGCTGGAACACCGCGGCTGCTGTGATGATCCCAAAGAAATTTTGTTAATACGATTTTTGAACTGCCTAGGTATAGTAGAACTGGGAAAAGCTTCAACTTCCACAGTCTCGACACTCTCGGGACAAAGGAGCGGTCGTATCGCCCAGTTCTGGATGTACGAAGCTCGACATGGTTAGCATGGGACGCCAAAGTTAGGCGGGCCTGTTTGGCAGGAACATCGCGCGGCGGCATCATGGAAGAGAGCTCTGAGGAGCAAAGCCCGTTGGTGTAGCGGTAGAAATGAGCTAGATCGCCGAAGGCCCACCGGTGCGAAAGAGTTCCGAGATTGTCTGTTAGAGAAGAGTCATAGATCAGTCGGACAGCCCTCCTCTGGACAACATCGAGCATGGATAATGTAGTCGGGGCGGCAGCACCCCAAACGTATGAGCAATACTCAAGGCTAGGCCTTATCTGGGCCTTGTATAGAGTGAGAAGGTCATGCGGAGAAAGTACTCCTTAGCCCTAAACAAATAGCCTAGCTTTTTCCCAGCAGCTGCAGCTATTGACGAGATGCGTTCGTGCCAGATCAGGTCCTCGGTGATCTGGACTCCGAGCAGCCGAAATGAATGGCTCTTTGACAGAACTCGGCCATCCATCGAAACCGGATCAGCGCTAGGACGCTTTTTGTTCGTCAAAGCACAGTACTGTGTTTTGGAAGCATTGAACTGTACAAGATTGTTGCGTCCCCAAGCAGTGATAGCCTCCAGGTCTCTTGTCAGAGAGGATGTTGTCACTATCCTTCTTTTTTCCAGCTCAGCGGCAGAAATCGGCTTGTCACTCTGAATTCCTGCATGTAGAGTGCTTCATCAGCGAAGCTATGGATTGGGTTGATCGTGCAGGAAAGGAGGTCGTTGATATGTAAGAGAAATAGACCAAGACCAATGCCTGGGGAACACAGGCGGTGACGTTGTGGGATGAAGAGGAGAACCCGTCAATTACGACGGATATCTTGCGGCCAGAGATAAAGTCAGCCACCCATCTGTAAATCTTTTCTGGGAGGCCATGGGATGGATGTTTGCTCAAGAGGGCAGCGTGCCACAGCTGATAGAACGCTCTCGTGATGTCAAGAGCAACGACATGGGCCTTACCATAAGACTGGATGAGTTTACTCCACAATTGCGTGACGTAAGCTGGGAGGTTCCCTGTGGATCGTTGGTGCCGGAAACCATACTGCCTGTCGCTAATCAAGCTGTGACGTACGAGGTAGTCCAGAAGCTCGCGATTTATGCACCCCTCCATCACCTAACTTATAAAAGAAAGCAGAGCGATAGGCCTGTAGTTGTAAGGGTCGGTCTTAGATCCCGTTTTGGGGACAGGTTGGACATGAGCAAATTTCCAGTTTTCTGGGAAGGTGCCGAATTCATAAGATATATGGAAGAAACGCGCTGCACACCTCTTCAGTACAATGGCAGGAATCAATTCCGGACCAGAAGCTTTGCTGATGTCGAGCGACAAGAGCACTCGTCTTACGGTCTTATGCCTGAATGTTACCTCCCGCATAGTGTAGGGAACTTTTTGAATTGACGGCACTTGGGCTTTGGGGGGGACGTCCATGGTGGAGTTGGCAGCAAAGATCTTGTCTAGCACTTCCGCCTTGGCCTTTGAGTCGAATACAATCGTTCCATCCTAGCACGTGAGTGGTGGGAGGCTACAGTGTGAAAATTTCTTTTCTATCTGCTTGGCCAGCGTCCAGAAATACCGGCTGCCATTGCGCTGCGACATTACCCTGTGCCTAACTTTTATATCGTGCTGGTTTTTAGCATTGCGAACCGCTTTGTCATATTTGTGTCTGGACTCGACGTCGGCTTGTCTGACCTCTACAGTGGGGTTTTGTAAGCAAGTTCTGTGTGCCTTGATCTGCTGCTGGTGAGCAGTGTCACATGATCTGTTAAAGCAGCCGTTGGACCCTGGTTTAGGCACTTTCACTGTATGAAGGATGTATTCCTCCACTCCGACGAGGATAGTTTCGGTTATCGAAGAACAGGCAGTCAACGTATCCATGTCAGTGAAACAGACATCTCGCCGAAGAAAGCTAGAGCAGAAGTGTCTGAGCCCCTCCCAGTCGGCATGTGCGTAATGCCAAGTTCTGCGGCCTGTACGAGTTTCTGCCGACACAGCGGGTTCTGACCGAAACCTAACCTCCACAACACCGAGGTCTGAGATACTCAGAGGGGATAGGACAGCAGTGCTGTAAGGGACAGGATGCGTGGTCAGAGAAAGATCCAGCAGGCTACTGGCATGTGACGAGACGCGAGGGGAAAAAAGTAGGGCTCGTCACCAGCTGGATCAGCCCTTGAGTAAGAGCGAACGCTTCTACTGCACGGCCTGCTGCATCGATCTTGTTTGAGCCCAACTAAAGCTCATTATGGGTATTGAAATCACCGAGAAGAACTACCTTTGAAGCGAAGTGATTGATGATCAGGAAGTCGATTTTGACGGCGAGGTATTCCAGTAGGTGATGCCAGTTATGGTCCGAGGGAGAGCGATAAAGGCAGCAAATAAATTTGGGTGATGCTTTGGAGTTGAGACGAAGCCACAGAATGTCCTTCCGGTTTGATTCCAAAGAAACATCTCTGGAGCAGGAAAGATTGCTGCGGACAAAAGCCACAATTCCCCCGTTCTTTCTCAGATTGGAGTGCACCTCGTAGTTTGGGAAGTTAAGATGGTTAATCGGTGCAGAATCTGAGGTTTTTGTCTCCGCCAAAAAAAGCATGGCGAGAGGATTGGATTGCAGGTAGTGATGAACAGCCTCAATGTTGCTGTTAATCTCGCAGATGTTTGTAAAACAAATGTTATCTTCGATGTTGTTCCCTCGAGCCCACCCTCCACCCGGACATTCCGAAAGTGGAGTGAGCTTACGTCCGGAATTCTTAGTGCTCGAGGGATCCATCACCATTAATTTCTTTCTATTGGAAGATAAGCGACTGCATAGCTTAGGTGTGGAAACATGCGGACATTTATAGGATACCCTGGGAAAAGCAAGCGGGTGATACCGCCTCGGTCGACTGGTCCTTGAATACCACCTTCTTTTTACGTATTAGTGGTATTAAAGATACCTAAAGTGGCCCGTTGGTGAACTTGTACCGCCACCCGGCAATCGGTACTGAGGTATTCCTTAACGCGTGTACAATCACTTGAACGGGAAGAAGTTTATACTGGATACAACAACTTCCGGAACAAGCATTTGCCATGGCCCCGCTCAGTAGGGGAGTAGGGGAGAGTGACGGCTTAACGCGTTAAATTCAAATATCGCAATATCGGCGTGTCCAATATTATCGTATAACGTTAGTATTTCATATTTTGATATTCAGGTTTTGCCGTTTATAGTTTGTTAAGTGAATCACTGAACCAGAAAGCGTTGTTGATGGGTGTTGCTCAAACGACTGCCCAACAACAGGTCAGAAACCCACAACGTGTGCCGTCGAGGTAAAATTTATTTTTTTATTCCTCGAAATTATTACGAGGTAAACTGTGAGAGTGGTTGCTTGACCACCTGAAAATATGAGGAGCTTTGTTTTGCTCTATAGGGTAATATGTAGTTAGTAGCCTACTAATAGTGTACTAGTGATCTCGTCAATGCTGTCCTACCGCTGAAATAGTTATACGTGTTTTAAAGCGTCAAGAGTAACCTTTTCATCTGGTCCCAGTAGCCAAGTTAGCGTGGCTCATTATGATCGATGCAGTCGACTTTCCCCCAATAATTATATAAGACGTTGTTACAGTATAAGCCTCATACGTCGGGCTAAAAAGCAGAAGAATGACTTTTCGAAACTATTGCAGCGTTAACGCCACCGCTGCTTCCTTTCAGAACACCAGCAGTACTTTTTCCTTTTTCGATGTTGACATTAGTGGAAGTGCTAGGGTTAATTTGTATGTTAATATAATTACCTCGCGCCGCTTTTCATTTCGCCTAATCTCGTTTTAATTAAAGAATAAATACAAAGCGTCGGTGGCTCCCTCTCTAGGTGCATTATGTGCTTCCTGTGCGCTTGTTCTCCTCTTTTCTCTTTATTTCCTCTGCGGTTATGCATGTTAATTCGCCACGCAACTACTCATATTTTCAGTTAACGCTAGCCGTGCTAATAGTCGGGGAAGTATTATTACGACCGGTTGCTTACTTCAGTTTGGATGAATGTGACAGTTACTTTCCTGCAAATCTGTCTGTCTATATATATATATACAATGTGTTTGGTCACGCCATACCAATATTTAAGGGGGGTACTTTTCAGCTATTTTTATCGATAAATCCACCCCCCTACAAGTCCTACCTCAGCCCTCTTGAAATGGCAGCCATTTTTATTTTTACGTTACCAGTGCATGTTTGAAAACTGTAATAACTGAATACATAAGTTTCACAGAACGATAAATTTGATGACATTTGAATGACAACATGTTGTTCTAGCGACTAATGAAAAACTTGTATTGATACTAACCGTTAAACATACTTAAAAACAGACAGAAACAGAAACAAGTATGCAAGAAAATTGATTATTTTGTGCATTGTTGCACACCATTCAAAAACTAGTCTGTGAAGTTGTACTTTTTTTGTGTTGATTCTACAGCTAACTATGTTATCTACAAAATGACACCAAATTTGTTAAGAAATAAATGGTATCTAACATGGGTCAAAATGGGTGTAATAAAATGCAAATTGTTTTCAATCTTTTCATACATAAAAATGACAAATCAATGTTTCTTACAAAGAGTTTTGACATGTTTAATGTTACAGAAGCTGTTCAAAATGTCCTCCATTATTGGTTATGCACATTGTTCTTAAAACAATGTGTCGTGTTGAGCGGCGGAACATATCCGTGTCCGCTCTAATTTCGTTCGCAGCGGCATGGATCCTTTCCACGAGCTCTTCCCGTGTCGTCGACACATGATTTTTGCTTCATTGTGCCCCAGAAAAAATAATCTAGGGGCGTTAAATGTGGTGATTGGGGTAGCCAAGCGACAGTGCCTCCACGTCCTGTCCATGGAGAATGTTTCCTATCCAAATGTTCTCGTACAACTCGCGCAAAGTGCGTGGCAGCTCCGTCAAGCTGCAACCACATGTTGCGGCGGTTGATAAGTGGCAGATCATAGAGTAGATGTGCAAACTCGGTCCTCAAAAACTCCAAGAATCCCTGGCCTTTTAACCTTGGAGGTAGCTCAATTGGGCCGACTAGAACTCCTTCTGTCATTCCGGCACACATATTTACATTAAATTCCTGTTGGAAAGTGCTTAGTCGAACCGCATGAGGATTTTCCGAAGACCACAAGTGGTCATTTCTATGGTTAATGATCCCCTGCCTCGTAAATTTTGCTTCGTCCGTCCATAGAATGTTTTCCCAAAAGTAGCAGTTCTGACGTAGCTGCCGTTGAAACCAGGAGCAAAATATGATTCTTGCTGCATAATCTGGCTCATGAAGATCCTGAACTCTTCGAAAATGGTAAGGATGTAAACCTTCTCTCTTAAGGACACTCCAAACCAAACCAATGTCACAAGTGTAGTCTTGCAGCAATCCTCCTCACACTCTCGGATCTCGGGTAATCATGTTGAGAATCTCTTTTTAGGAGTGAATATAATTACTTTTGATTTTTCTGATTTTAATTTAAGATTTTGAATTTTTGCATACTTGTCGATAGACCTCAAATCTTCATTAATTTGCGCCTCAGCAGTTACTATAATGTCAGTACTAAAATTATTCTGTAACTGCGAGTCATCTGCAAAAATCTGAATATTGCAGTGTTAGCCTTATCAAGATCGGAGATATATAAAATAAAAAGAAGTGGCCCAAGAATTGTCCCTTGAGGAACTCCCGATGAAATTAACGCTTCAGGAGAAGTGTTCATATCGATGACAACTCTTTGTGATCTATTTTTTAAAAAGCTGTTTATTTGAGCAACTGATGATTCAGAGAAACCATAATATTTACATTTGGCTATTAATATGGCATCAAACGCCTTAGAAAAATCTAAAAGAATCAAGGAAGTAGTTTGATGATTATCCCAATCCCTGTCAATATTACCAGGTGGATCTAACAATGCTGCAGCAGTATTATAACCCTTCCTAAAACCACATTGTCCAGAGTGTAGGATACCACATGTCCATTTATTTGTATATACATTGCCTTTTCCAATAATCTGGAAAGTATAGACAAAGCGCTAATAGGCCTCAGGTCAGTATACCTACTTTGGACAAAGATAAAACGAGACAGCTTTTCCCTGCTTTAGGAAATATACTTTTTTCTGAGCATTTATTTATGATATGTAATATATGTATTGCATTAGGGGAAACCATAATTTAAGCATTTCAAGTGATATTCCGTCAGCTCCAAATGCACTGGATTTTAAAGTATAAAATATTGAGTTTAAATCTGAATAATTTGTTGGGCAGAAACGGAATTTATGGCTACAAAAATAATTATTTTCATAAAAAGAGATCTTTTCTGAACATGGATGAATGTTCTTTTTGAAACGAAAGTGCTTTATAGAAATTCGCGGAATCATTCTGTTCTCTAAGGGATCTTAAATAAGATGCCTTTTCGAATCTAATTTTCCCTAAGGTTGAGTTCCGTAATCTTTTGTAAAATGTGAATGTCTGTCCAATCTGTCACCATCACGTTTGAACCACAATACGGAGAGACGTAAAGATCTGTACATTAACTAGGAAGGTTATAAGCATGGTTTTATCCGCGAAAATATACAGGGCGTTAAAAAAGTATGGATAGATGATCGAAATATCTCAAAAAGTACTTTCCTACAGAAAAATGTTATATGAAAAGATTGTAATGTCAGAAAAGATTCATGTATTGGTGACCTTGACATTTTTCAAATTAAATCTTTACTTTGGAGACAAGAACTGTTAAGAGTGGACAATATTACGTTAAAGTATATCTTTACCCATGTCATCGACCATGGGTATTTGAGGGTTTCCAGAAAGAAGGAAAAAATGTTGTGTACATAGTTGTAAGGTTTGAAATTATTCATCTAATGGTGGCCATGAACGTGACCTTGAAAATAACCTTCAATTCGTTGGAAGATCAAGGCAGTATTCTTAAATGGAAACCCGTATCTTTCGCACCTTCTGTTGAAACAGCAAAAAACCTTCTGTTTAAGAATGTCGGGGACAGGGTCATTTGAAGACCAAATGAATTTTTAACAGGAAACATCTATTTTCAATTCCTGAAATACAAATAATAATGAACTTGCTCATGACCTTCAGGTCATCGTAAGATCAGATAGGTAAAGTAGTAAACAAACAAGTAAAACTCGTAACGTTTTATCGAGGATACAAAAAAGCGAAACATTGAAGATAATTTATTGTTGCATCAAAATGATGCATGAAACATGTTAATTGCCAAAGAAACTACTATGTTACTTTGAATACTGCATTTGTTTCTCCGAAACCACTCTTCTTGACCTATTTGAACCTCGCATACCTTTGTTTTGACCAATCCATCTAGCATCAAACTTCTCGTTCAAGTAATTTCTTACAGACGCGCAAAGCGAGGTGGAGCACCATCGTTCATAAAAGACATGACTCTTCTCACATTCATAGATAGTTAGTTCTGCTAATAATTCAGGTAAAACGTATTGTAGAGAATCAAGATAGCTATCTCCGTTATCATGCAACCTATATGAACCAATTAAAAAGTTAAGAAGCTTGTTATCAAAAATAATCTGACACTGACATAACATCCCACTTTTCCGCCAACTTGATTCCTACTAGGCTTTAATACTTGATGTAATAAGAAAATTCTTCAGAAACCAGCTTCGGAAGCTATGTGAGATGGTCTGTTTTTATAAGAGACATGAAATGGAATAAATGAAAGGATCTTCCGAATAAACAAAGATTCAGAATCGTTGGGAGAGTTGCGAAAAAATTGTGCTATAATTTATTTAGGGGCGGGGATAGTTTTCAGCCTTCTCGAACCCTTTCGCTTTTTTGTAAGTCTAATACTATGACTTCTGGAAAAGCATTTCATTCAAATCGGACTATCGGTTCCAAAAATATCTGAAAAAGGTGTTTTTCTAAAAGAAAACTTTTACTTTAGCATATAGGTAAATCATATCCAATCGCCTTATTTAGAGTCTAAAAATATGTGGTACTTCTATATCGATGCAATATTGGGGCACACTGTATATCAGTCTATAGATTTTCTACAAAAGTGTTTGTCCTACGGCGAGGCTCTGTCCACGCACTATTAGACCACCCTGTATACAGGACGTTTCAACGAAAATGGAAACTATTTATTGATTTAATCTATTAATACTTATTTTCATCCTTTTTACCATATTAACTAAATACCTACTAACATCAAGATGATATTTATAGCATGATAATGATATTTTCGAGGGATGCAATGTTTTCGTCTGTGTCCCTATGTCTCCTATGTTTTGGCACAGATAAACGTGTTTTTCTGTAGCTCATATGCCTGAATTTGTACATGGAATGGTCTGACCTATTTTTTTAACCACTTTTAGCGTAAATCGTAAATACTGATCAGAGCAACGTTTGTAAATGGTACTAAGCTTATGCGACGGGCGCATCGCTGTATGGTTTAATGTGACGTCATCACCCAGTCTCACGCTACAACAAGATAATTCACCACATAAGGAACTTCTGGGTAGCGTAACATTTTGAGTGTGCTCCAAAATATAGGAAGCTTCCTCATTGTCCTACAAAACCACTTTTCATTTTGATTGAGATAAGTGGATCTCTATTCTGTTTTCACGTTCGTATTTCTGTTTGTTTCCTATCTTTCTTGTAACCATTTAGAAAAGTGACAAATCTATTTCGGTCTGCAGCGACCAAGGAGTTTGCGTTATAGAAAAACAAATTTCGGATTTCTAACATATGACTTGTAGTTAGTTGAATCGAAAGTCAGTAACTGGTTGCAAAAATGCGCATAAGGGCGCAAATCTTCTCTGACCTTCCAGAATGCCGATTAAAATCCAGTTGACTCCGTTAGAATTCATGAAAGCCAGTTGACAGGTGGGTTAATGTGATTACTTTAAAACGACGAAATGGTGTCCGTTTTTAGTG